CGCAGCAACCCTGCGTCTTGCCCCATAAATATGAAGTTTTGTCACGTGCGCATGAGCGGGAGCGGGGGAAACGTCTTCAGCGTCTTTCCCGGCCTCGTCGCCTGCTGCTGTTGACTTACTTTTGATAACACAAAGTTCAATAAAAGCTCCTGTTTGGCGACCTTAATTAAACAATATCTGCCTTAGCTCGAAGTTGACTTTAAAAGTTGAACGTGAATATAAAATAAACACACTCTTGCGCAAATTACATTTTTATTTCACTGTGGCTGGACGTCCTGGAGCCTCGTCTCTCACCCTGCAGCTTCCAGAAGGCCGTGCCTGCGCCGTCCACCAAACAGCAGCCGCCGAGTCTCGGCAGCACCAGCCCCCCAGCCGGTGCCGCGGCCTCTCCCGGCAGGACCCACCGTCCTCACTTCTCCCAAGGCCGTGGATTCCTTGCGGGTCATGGTCTTCCCTCCCATTGTTTTGTTTTTTTTTTAAAGATTCATTTATTTTTATTTTATGAGTAGAAGAACTGGGGTGCAGGCCAGAGGTGTGGGGGGTGAAAGGACTCCCCAGAGCCAGAGTAGGGAGCAGGGCAGGCGGATCCACTGAGACCCACCGCTGAGGGGAGCAGCGGGGAGGCAGGAGAGTCTGCTGCGCCCTGTGGGCAGCTCCGTGGCCGGGGATGGAACTCAGGCCCCAGAGGTGGGTTGTCCTGGTGAGAGCCTGAGGCTACCCCGAGGCCACCAGGGAGGCCTTTCCCTTGTTCCTGAGGAGGAGAAACATGTCTCTGCGATGTTGCTAAGATCTCCCAGGTCCCCCCCCCCTCCGCTTCCTTGTGCAAATGGCTCCGGGGCCCTGATTTCCAGCTCCCCGCCCCTCCCCCGGGGGCGGGCCCAGGGCTGCACATCCCAGGGTCTCACCCTCATCTTCACCCACAAACCTTCCGGGTGGGGCCTTTTGTCTCTGCAGCTGCCCTCCTTGCACCGCCTTCCCACGAGCGTGTAGACTTGGCGCCCGGGGCCACGCTCACCTCAGGCGGGGCGCTGAGGGCTGAGCCCACGTTTCCTAGCGGTGAGCTTGGCTGGGGAGAGGTTTACTCCAACCTGCTTTTCCGTGCGGCCGCGGGGGCGCCCTTCCTCTCGCAGTCTCCAGGCTGTTTTCTCAGAAGCGTTCGGGTGTCGCGAGGCTCTGTTAGCGGTGGATGCTCAAAAAATATGCTCTATTTCCAGTTTTAAAGATCTGCGTCTCTCATTCTGGAAACTTCTTGATATTTTTCTTCCTTCTGCTGCGTCCAGCGTCTTTTCCTTGACCTTCTCAGGCCCTGCTCACTTTATTTTTCAGAAAAATTTCTCCATTTTCTCTTCCAGGCTTTCGACTTCATCTGTTGTCTCAGCCATGAGCGGTTGAGCGCTGGGTTGCAAAGCTGCCCGCGGCCTCTGCGGCGCCGGTTCGATCCCCGGCTGCTCCCCAGCCACCGGAGGAGGGTCCCACATGGCGCCCAGACCTCTCCTGCCGCCCGCTGCTCCCCTCAGCAGTGTACTTCGGTCCTTCTGCCTGCTCTGCTCCCCGCTCTGGCTCTGGTGGATTCTCTCACCCTCCCGCGCTTCTGACTGTCCCCAGTGCTTGTATAAATAAATAAATAAATAAAAATAAATCTTTAAAAAAAAAAAGAAATTCCGAGGTGCTTTTTCGGTCCCCCGAGTGTTCCTTTATCGCGTTCTCGCTCTCCGGGGGAGGCATCTGCGGCGACAGCTGGTTCCTCCGCGCCCGCCTGCGCCCGGGTGCGCCTCCCCACCCCGGCTCGCTGCTCCGCTGCTTTTGCTGGCCTGTTCTCTTGTATGTCTGCTCCTCCGGGGCCAGTCACTCTTGGGGTCCACCAGCCTGTGCTCCCCCCCATGCCTCTCCATCTTGGGGTAACCGCACCAGCAACCATGGCCGACCCGCAGGATGGCAGCGGAAAGGCTGTTTCTTTGCCACCTGTTGCCCGTTCCAGACGCTGCTTTGCCTCCCCCGTGTGCAGTGGGAACGCGCCGTCGGAGGCAGCGAGGAGGCGGGCAGGGCGCGGACAGGGCGATCTCCCTGAGTCCTCACTCAGGACCGTCCTTCTCTGCGCCCCCACGTCTGAGTGGCGGGGCGCTCCCCCCCACGAGAGGGAACAAATCCACGTGACGACTCGCTCTGTCCGGCCCAGCCGGGAGGTCAGTGAGCCCAGGCCCGGGAGGCGACGATGCTTCGAGGACCGAGGACTGGCTCAGCCCACGGCAGGGACGCGGGCGCTGCTGCTTCCTCTGCTCTGCCCCATTTCTGCCACGGGGTGGGGGGGGTCTGCGTTTCTCATGAAATTGCCCCAAGTGCAGAGGATGCAGGCGCTGGGGCGGCGCCGCTCTGGGGCCCGGGGCTCGCTCTTCGGGAACCGGCGCACGTCGGAGTGGGCAGCTCGGCCTCGGCGCATGAGGCCCAGGGACCTGGTGCACGACGACGCGCCTGCCACGCCCCCCAAGGCTGCCAAGCCCGCGCGGCAAGGACCTCTGCGGGGGCCTCCGCTCCCCAAAGCCGCCACGGGCGCGCAGCGCACAGACCCAGTTGGCTCCGGGTGCTGGAGGGACTTGCTGCCCACGCCCCGTCTCGCGTCCCTTCAGAGGACGTGGCAGCGTCCAGCGAAAATTAAGGCCTGACCCCCAACTTTGCCGGACTTTGTAAATCAGTGAGATCTCGCGGTCTGGTAGTTGCTTCCCTCCAAACGCCCTGTCTGATGGGGAGAAAAGGGCTTTTCCTGCTGTCACGAGAGCCAGACGACACACTGAAATAAAACGCCACCATTTGCTTTGTTCTTTGAAACGGAAGGTGAGGCTCTGCCCGAAGGACAGCGGCCCACAGGGGAGCCGGCCCTGCCCCTCGCGTCCTCGGCGGCAGACCCTCCTGGGTGCGGGTTTCCAACCAGCATCTGGCCTCAGGGATCCCCTGGCAGGACCTCGCGTGGCTCTCGGGGGCCCCCTGTTCACTTGCTGTTTGCGGCAGTGCCTGCCCCGTTCTGAGCACCGGCTGGGGGAGCCCCTTGTTGGGCCGCCTCCCGCGGAGGTCCTGAGATGCGGGGGGGAGTCCAGAAGCCCCCAGGTTGGGCACAGCATTGACGTGCGGGCGGCTGCCGGCAGCTGGGGACAAGGTCCCGCGAGGGAGGACAGGCTTTCTCTCCCGGTTCCTTCCGCTCTTCCTCGTGCTCCAGACTTGGTAACAACGAGCCTGAATTGTGCGTCTGGTGTCAGCTTCCCTTCCACGTGAGAGGAGCCGTGACGCTTGCGTGAGCGTCATCGTGCAGCCGAGTCTGCGAGCAGCCCGGGGCCGGGGGGCTGGGCTCTGCTGCTTCTGCCTGTGGCCCGCAGGGGGTCGCTCTGAGCTGCCCCTCAGCCCGGCCCTCGGGGACACACCTGGGCCGGGCAGGGAGGACCCCCCGGGGCGTGGCGGTGGGCGAGGCACTCGGGAGGGAGGTCGCCCTCCCAGCTCAGACTGGCCACGGGAAGTCTCTCATGTTATAATGGGTAATATCATGACGTCATCATTTGATCAGGTCTTGCTGATACTCACAGGGTCAACGCCGGCAACCACAACCCCAGGAAAGATCGGCCTCAGGTGGACCCCCTGGAACTCGGAGGCCACATCTCACCCGGTCACCTCTGTGTCATCAAGCCCTGGGGCTCCCCGAGAGCCCGACGCGGGTGGGGGGCGGTGGCGGGCAGCTCCCCCACCAGGAGCTGCATCAGCGTCAGCAGAGGGCGGAGGCGGGAGGAGCTGGGCGAGGCGCTGCCCCCAGCCCAGCCTGCGCATCCTCCACAAGCCGCGCCTTGGGGTGGGGGCGGGGAGAAAGGAACACCCCGCACGCCGCGCGTCAAGCCAGGGAAAGCGCTTTAATGACAATCGGCATCACAGCTATAAATAAATATCTCCTTTCCGCCTATAGCGTGTGCTGGAAATTTCTTTCGCAGAGGTCCAGCTAAGGTTACGAGGCTTCAGGGACCCTGTCTCAGCTACTGATTTTAGTAATTACAAAAATAAAAGCAAGAAGCATCTGTGCGTCCTGCAGCGGCGCCGCCGGGACCGGCCGTCCCTCGGGGCGGTGGGCGCGGCACCGACCTTTGGGTGACCGGGTGGGCGCTGTGCTGCTGCCGCGCGACCAGGCCGCTGAGAACACGGTGGACTGGCCGTCCAATGTGGAGTCCAGCTCCGCGGCCGACGCCGGCACCCTCGGGGCTCGTCCTTGTCCATTCCTGGCGTCGGGGGTCTCGCGGCGGGCTGCCCGTGAGCCGATGCTGACCACGTCTGTGGATGGAGCCGGCCCCGCGCGGGAGACCCGCGGCGCGGGACAGGGCGCCGGAGGCGGGCACCCGTGGGCTCTGGTGCGGCCAGGGAGCCCCTGGGCAGGGCCCGCCACCGGCCTGGGGGTGGTCAAGGCAGCCCCCCCAGAGGCTCTGAGGGTTTCCTCTCATTGTAAAACCTGCCAACATCAACAGGGCTGGAGGGACAGAGAAACACCCGGCTCACTAACAGCAGGACACAGTCAGGGCGACGTCCCTAAGAATTCACCCAGGGAGTGGGAAGGACTTGGCGTTTCATTCGATCCTCGGAAACGAACACTAGATACAAAATCGAGTGGCGACCCGGGCACGAGGAGAAGGACGAGGCGTGAGGGGCGCGGGAGGGGCAGGCGGCCCCGCGGGCACGGCGACTCGGGCTGCCCCTCAGCCGGCCCCGTTTCTACGTGCAGCTGCTTTATTAGAAATGTAAAGAGGTGGTTACATCTGTCCCTTTTTATTTCTCTTTTTGCATTTTTTACAAATGATTTTTGGTAGCTTGACTGTGTCTGTCACTGTTCACTAAGTGACAACCGTCCCGCGCTGCCCTGCCTGGCAGCGCCCCCGGCGCCCTCGGGGCCGGGCCTCTGACCCCCCCGGCCCATCTCGGACGGCCAAGACCCCGTGGCCGGAGAAAGTCCCTGGGGCCGGACTCCCGTGACCCCCGCCGGCCCGGCCCGGCCCCGCGACCTCGCGCTACGCCTCGTCCTTGAGCTGCTCCAGGTAGTCTCCGAGCTCCGCGGGGCTGTCCCCGCCCGCCTGGCGGCAGCCCCACTCCGCACCCTGCTCGTGGCCGCCCAGGACGGAGTTCACGGCGGGGCCGCCGTCGCAGGGGATGGTGGTGAAGGTGGTGAACTTCACCTTCTTCCTCCTGGAGGTGGGCGAGTGCGGGGGCTCCGGCCTCTGCCCCCGGGCCGGCCGGTCCGCCCCGAGGCTCTGGCTGGGCCCCGGCGCCGGGGAGCCCCCGTTGAGCAGTGGCCGGTTGCTTTCCTCACCGCCCCCCAGGCCGCGGTCGAGGACAGTGGTGCGCTCGGCAGGCGGGCACCTGTCGCCCACGCCCTCCAGGAGCTCGGCTCCGTTGCCCAGCCACACCCAGTCGTGCGAGTGGGTCATGGAGGCCTGAGCCTCCAGGGGCACCTGCTTGTGCCGGTACCTGAGCGCGAAGGTGGCGCAGTTGGCCAGGAAGACCAGGATGGCCAGGCAGAAGACGCCCAGCAGCGCGTACATGCCGATCTCCAGGTCGCTCAGGCCCCGCGGCGTGGGCACCAGGCCGCTCTCCTGCAGCCCGGCCCCCGCCTGGGGCAGCTCCACCTGCGCCGGGAAGTTGGCAAAGTCGAGGGGGATGGTCTGCGGCTGACCCTCCCCCGGCAGCCTGCCCCCGTCGGGCCGGCCGGCCCTCGCCGCCTTGTCCTGCAGCGCCCGGGCCGTGGTGCTGGGCCTGCGCAGCGCCCCCTCCTCCCGCTCCAGGGAGGGGCTGCCCTGCGGCGGGTCCTGGCCCTCGCGCTCGGGGTCCGGGCCCCTGTGCCGCCGCTCGCTGGCGTGGTTCTCGATGTCGCTCCCGGCCCCGCTGGGGCTGGTGTCCGCCTCACTGGGGCCAAACTTGACCCCAATGTGGCCGACGCCCACGGCCAGGACACTCTTGCGCTTGGACTTCTGGCAGGCCTCGGCGATGGTCATGTCCACCCGCACCAGCGGCCCCTGGCCCTCCCCTTCTGCCACCACCACAGGCCACTGCGGAGAGTGGGCCTGGGGGGTGGACACGACGGCCTCGTCCAGGGAGGTGGCCGTCAGGGTGAAGTCCTCGGCGTCGTAGATGTCCAGGGCCGCCACGGAGCCATCACTGAACTGCAGCCACGTGCTGACCACAGCTTCCTGCGGGGGACAGGCAGTTAGGAGAACCGTGGGGAGCGGGGATCTTCCTGGGGAGCCGGGCCAGACCCCACATCCGCAGGGGGTGAATCTGGGGAGGACACGCCAGCCTTAGCACAGCAGAGACCCTCTGGCGCCCCCTGCAGCCTGGGGTTGGCCTGGACGCAACGGATTCCTGGTTCCCCTGTTGGTCCCTGGGACCAAGTCCTGCCCCCGCTGGCCCCTCTGCCTCCCCGCTGCCGAGTCACCTGGCATCCGGCCCTACCTGCTTGGGGGTCCGCAGCAGCTCGTCTGCCGTGGCCACGGCTGTGACAGTCTTGCTGTGCTCCCCGCTGGGGTGCAGGGTGGCAGACAGCCCCGCCACAAGCTGGACGGCCAAGTCTGTCACCGATACCTTGTCATCTAGCACGGTCACTGTCTTCTCTGCCAGGATGGAGTCGGACAGCGGGGACAGCACCTGGGCAGGGCACACAGACCATTCATCACATGACTCCAGATGCGGGGCCCTTGCCAGTAACTCCTCCTCCGTCCCCGGCGAGCCGGGGGCCCAGCATCCAGGATGGAGGAAGGCGCCTGCACCCGTTTCACTCGGACACTGGGCCTTCGTGAGGCCAGAGACCGTCACGCCTCCCTCAAGACTCTTTAGTTCTATCTGCTGGAAAATTAAAACCATTCTGTTTCTAAAAGAAAATGAGGCCTGACATTGAGAGCAGGCGTCCTTGTGCAGTGCACAACCTGGTCCACCGCACACAGCTGCTGACGGACTCACGACCAGTTGCCCAGGAACGGACTCCATGTAGCCTGAATTGCCTTTGATGTGCACCCAGCGTGTACTGGGGGGAACTGGACTAAAGCAGTCCACTCTGCCCCCAGCTCCCACCGTCACGCGCCCTCTGCTTCTTCTCAGAAGCCAAATGTCGGACTTGAGGCAGCAAGGTGACGTGGCAACGGCGTAGCAATCATTTCTACACATGCTGGTTGTGTGCGGATCCAGAAGGACCTCCTAGGAGCCGGGAGGCCCCTGCCTTCTGTGCTGAAATCCCGCCTCCTCCGGGCAGACCTTCCGGGTTCACTTCCAGGCCACCGCAGTAAAGGGAAGGTCATGGGAACGCGAGTCCCAGGAGGGCTCCGGCCTCCCAGTCCTGGGAAAGTCACGTTTACTCTGCCCTGGCCTGTGAGGTGGGCGCCAGCATTCCGTCTCCGGGGACAACGGAGGGGCCTTAATTGAAAAAATAATTGCTGGAAAGGCCAGCTGTCCGCCAGCCGTCATCTTTCTGCGGGGGGAAGGTCTTGTAAAAAGCCCCTGGTCTGTGCACCCGAGTGCGTCTCCTCGAGCCAAAGACAGGCGCGGGCGCCGAGGGGCTCGTGGGAAGGCTGGGCCCTGGGCGGACAGGAGGGTAGCAGGACGACGTCCAGGGCAGCGAGGCTGTTCCCGGGGTGGGGAGGGCACGCCCGAAACTGGTGTCAGTGCGCAGACCCAGGTGGATGGGCTTGGGGCAGGTGGTGGGAATGGGGAGGCTGCAGTGGAAAGAGGGGTCACTGGGGGGCCAGTGTGGCCACCGTCACGGCCTCACCTCTGCTTGGAGGGAGACTCGGAACTAAAAGGGCTCTGGACACACCACCCTGCACCTTGCCTCCCCCCAGCTTTGCCTCCCGCACCCACAGGAGCTCCTCAGGAGCCACCCACGGGCGCCCCGGGGCCACCTGCTGCTGTCCATGGTGCTGACACGGGACGCCTTGGTTATCCCAGACTCCCTTCCCTGTAAGCCTGGCCAGGCCCGGACCCCGCAGGGGCCACGCAACCGAGGCCGCGCTTCAGGGTGGAGGGTTTAGTGCGCTCCTGCCGTGGCACACAGCACCCACAGTCCAGGAGGAGCGCACCCTGCAAGAAGGGGGCCGCTCCGAGATCGCCTTGCTCTGTCGCGGCAAGAAGGGACAGAGGCACAGGCTGCGAGACACACGGGCCTGGGCGCCAATGCCACCTCACCCGCCCCTCACTCGTTTCCCCAACGTTAGTCAGGGAGAGTGGGCTGCGTGCCAGGCGCCTGGGGCTGCAGCGGTGAACCAGACAGACAGACAGACGCCCCTGCTCCACCGGCCCCACGCATGCCGGGCAGGCAGGACCCCAGCTCCAGCCTCCTACCTGGATGGTGGTCATCCCAGCCTCCCGCCCGACCAGGATCCTGCTGTCCTCAAGCGTGGCCACGTGCGGCTCCTCCAGCTTCATGAAGTCGGCCACCAGATGGGTGATGTCCACCTGCCAGTCTGGGCTGAGCAAGTGGCTGGGCGGCTCCCAGGGGCCAGCGCCCTCGGCCACGAACTGGGTGAGCACACGCACCGTGGCGCGCTGGTACTGCAGGGCGCAGCCCCGGCCCCGCGGCTCGTCCTCCTCGTCCTCGCTGTCCCGCGTGGGCCTGGGGAGGGAGGGGTCTCAGCTCCGGGGAACGGGCCAAAGGGACCGGGCCACTCCGATGCCCAGAAGCAGCTTCGGGGCAGCCTCGGGGGTCAGTGGCTACACCGACGGACAAACAGACTTCAGAGCTGCTATTTGCTGCATAGCCACATGTGCTAGTAGCTATCGTATCGAACAGCATGCTTCTAGAACGTTCTGCCACTGGAGGAAGCGCTATGGGGCAGAGCTGTATTTCACTCTGGAGATGCGCCAGGTCCCGCTCCAAGCGCCCACATCATGAGCTCCTCTAATCTCACAATGCTGAAGCAAAGCTTAATGATCCCCTTCCTGCTCACCTCTTACTGGTCACGATGGGGACCCTCCAGCCTTTAATCTGGTTGAGCTCTGTGTCAGAGACCTCGATCTGCAGGGGCAGCCGGGGCGCCCACACAGTGATGTGCAGCGGGGCCCTCAGGTGCTGGTACGTGAAATTCACCACCGCATCCACCTTGCCTTTCATCTCTTTGCCGTTGACAAAGACATAGTCGCAGTGGTCAGACACCTGCAAGGACAGAGAGGGCTGAGGAGACCATTGGGGCCCTGGAGGCCATTCTCTCTGGTGTGTCCTTTTCTCTTGTAACGCGCATGTGTTCGACGCAGGTTCTTGCCGACGCAGAGCCTGAGGCAAGGATTCAGTGCAGCTGGTTTACTGGGGCGGTGGCCCCAGAGAGCAGAGTGAGGGCGATGGGACAGGGAAAACCAGAACACAGGTGCATTTTTCGTTGGCTGTTGTGACCATGGTCTCTGGGGGTCACGTGCAAATTCTACAGAACTATCCACCTGAAGACACGAGGCGGGAGCATTATCTACCAGCTCCCGTCTCTGGCTGAGCGAGGGCTGCCCTGCGTGCTCAGGCCCCTGCACTTCCAGGCTAGGGTGCTGGCCCACGGCATCCGAGAGACCCTGGGGCGGACAGCAGAAAGCAGCTAGAGGTGGGTTTGGTGCAATCATGAAGTGGGCGTGAACTCACAACGAACTGCAGCTGGGACTGAGACTGTGACGTGGGCATCAGAGGGGCCACATGCAGGCTCCACCTCCAGCACCTGGGGTCCACCTGGGCTCCACAGGGCTCCCATGGCCCCTCCTCTCCAGCAGACTCGCAGCATCCCATGGCCACACTCTCCCCCAGCACAGGCCCCACGGATTGCCAAGGCACCTCGGTCTTCACACGTGTGGCTCCCCTGATTCAGACCTGTCTGGCCTCGTTCAAAGTCTCCTGGGAGGCTGCCCCATCCCGCGAGGATCACTATTATGTTTGTATTATAACGGTTCACCCCACACACAAATGGCAAAGTCACATCAGAGACTGAGTCTCCTTCCCCCATACTCCTTCTCCTCTCCCCACCGTAGATGACACCAGAGGAAATGAAGATGGACCTTGACTGATAGCAGGTGCCCCCGGGAACCGTGAACAGAGGACTGGGGGACCATGAGCCCCTCCTCCAAGGTCTTGCAATAGTTAGGATGCTGGAAATTAGACTGGGATTATGTTCTGCTACCTGAGCGAATTGAAAACTGAAAATAGAAATCTAGTTGGGTTATAGAGAAATAACACCATCCATCTTACATAGTCAAGTTTATGAAATGTGATTTTAACTGGCCCCATGGGTCCACATCACCCCTAAACTATGAAATCCTCAAAGCCAAGAAGTTTGTGTTTTTCATCTTTGATATTTTGGTTCCTTATGACAGTTACTCATGAAGCAGGAGCTCAGGCAAATGGATACTGAAAGGACAGGTGGGTGGGTGGGTGGGGGTGTGGATGGACATGTGTATGTATGTATACTGAAAGGACAGGTGGGTGGGACATGTGTATGTATGTATACATGGATAGATGGTGGGTGGATGGATGGAGGATGGATGGATGGATGATGGATGGATGGATGGATGATGGATGGATGGAGGATGGATGGATACATGGGGGATGGATGAATGGATGATGGATGATGGATGGGTGGATGATGGATGGATTGAGGGTGGATGGATGCATGGGGGATGGATGGATGATGGATGATGGAGGATGGATGGAGGATGGATGGATGATGGATGATGGATGGATGATGGATGGATGGATGGATGGTTGGGTGGGTGGATGGAGGATGGATGGATGATGGATGGAGGATGGATGGGTGGATGGATGGTTGGGTGGATGGAGGATGGATGAACAGTGCCCCCTTTCACGGAGATGTTTGCTTCAAAACAACCAAAGATCTTGGGGGCAAAGAGAAACGTGAGAGGCTGAGATAAGATGGAGCCAAGAGCAGCAGAAACATAGGAAGTTAACTTGAAAGCTCCCAGAAGCTGCCGAGCAGTGTTTCCTGACCTTCTGGGGTCACTGACTCCTTTGGGAACGCACGCAGAGCTACTCCTTGCCCGGCCGTGCCGCCTGTGCACCATATCGGAGTTCATGAAATGGCTCCCGGGCCCTTCGCAGAGCACTTCCCACATGAAGCCATAATTGCTAATTTGCTTATCTGTCTCCTGTCCAGACTGTGGGCTCTGGAAGGCACAGCGTCTCCTTCGGGGGTCTGTGGACCCAGTTACATAACACCCGACGCCGAGCAATGAAATCCTCCCCTTCCGCAGCTTCCGGGAATCTTGGATGGCTGCTCTGGGCCCAATTTTCATCTCCAACTCCCGCTCCCGCTTGGAGGGGCAGCTGGCGAGGGCCGGGCGGAGAGAAGTTCCTCCATCTGCCGGGGACGGCGGCGGGAACCGTGGGGAGGGGCACACACGGCCTCATCGCCACACTCGTGGTCAAGAGGGGTTTAAAGATGTTTACAAGCCGATTAAGGGTGGAAACCAATTCCAGCCGCTCTCCCAGACTCGTCATTAGCATGTAAACACTGTCCTGGACCCGCGCGGCATTAGCATAACAGCCCAGCAAGAGTGATATCCGTAATCACTTCTTTAATCAATGTTGTAATTTACAGACCATTGACTTTTCTCATTTAGTACCTTCCGGGGCGCTGGGGGGAGGCAGCCCGGCCACTCCAGCATACATAAATAACTGAGAGGAACACAGGGCAGGGCCAGCGTCGCGGTGCATGATGGAGCCTCCGCTGCTGCTGTTCCGGAAGGGGCCGGCAAGTTCCGGGCCGCCCGGGGCCGTGTCCGTCATCCCCTGAGCGGCCGCAGTGGAGCTCCTGCGTGAGCTGGCTCGTCCCCGGCCGGCACCGCAGCCCTCAGGGATCTTCTAAGCCCTCGCCTGTGCTCTGGGGTGCGCTTCGCCCTGCTTTTGGGGGGCTGCACACTGAGAAGCCTGCGGGCCTCCAACACTGGAGCCCGCCGGGTGAGAGCATGGAAGCTGGTGTGCTGGCCACGTGGTGGCCCGGAGCAGGGTGGCCTGCAGGGGTCCAGGGAGTCAGTGCCGCAGCCTGCGGTCAGCGACAGCTTCCATGGACACCCAGGCCCTGGAGACACCCGGATGGCATCCCCTGCTCCCAGGGCAGGCGGGGGTACACACAGGTGTCTCCTGGGTGACCTCGAATGTCCGCCGAGACTTCCGTCCGAGCCCCGAGCTGTGCCCCGGGGAGGGCTTGTCAACGTGCAGGCCGGGGGCCCCAGCCACAGCCTCGGGCTCCACAGGTCTGGGGGGGGGGCCCATTCCCAACGGGTTTCCGGGCAACGATGCTCCAGGTCTGGGGACCACTTTGCTTCTTGACCTGAGGCAGCTGCCCCTCGGTGGTCCGGGGCCCTCACACGGCCGGTCTCCGCCGGGCTGCTGAGAGGCCACACTCTGGGGCGCACGTGTGACGGCCGCCTCCTGCTCATGCTCCTGGGGCTGAGTCCAGGCTGGCCGTGCTGGCAGGTCTGGCGAGCCGCACTTTTGGGCTCGTGCCACGGTCTCCTTGCTGTGTCCCCACGGGGTGGCAGGGCCGGGGCTCTGTGGGGTATCCTCTATGAGGTCTCCATTCATGGGGCTCCACCAGGTGACCTACCCACCTCCTGACGCCATCCCTAGGGGCTAGAGTGTGAACCCAGGAGCTGGGGGCACCCTGACATTCAGCCCAGAGGAGGGCCTCTCACCGCTGGGGTTAGCTGTGCGCTCAGTGCTGTCCCCGCGCTGCAGCCCTGTGCCCGGCCTCCGGGTGCCGGGGCGGCGCAGCTCCGCCCGCGTGCCCAGTGAGCCTCTCTGCCCTGGTGCGCGCAGAAATTAAATGGTGTTCCGAGTCCACCTTGACTTGGGGTGCCTGGTGGGGTGTGGCTGGGCCTCTGCTGCCTTCCGGGACAGGGCCTGCCGGCGCACCGCCTGCTCCAGGCCCCGGCTCCGAGCATTCAGAGCCAGCTCAGGACACAGGCCGGCACAGGCCAGAGCAGAGAGAAGCAACGTTGAGCGCAGCAGCCCGAGTGCAGGGAGCCCCCGCCCCCCGCTGAGCCGCGCGGCTCCCTGGGCCTCCTGCTCAGCCCATGCTGCCCGCGGGCACTCACCTTGACCACGTCCTCGGCGGTGGACGTGCACTCCACCGACTCGGAGATGTCGGTCACCGTGCCGTCCTCCGCCACCGACACCACCTTCACCGGCACGGCCGCCGGCCTCCCCGTGAGGATGGCCGTGTTCAGGATCTCCGTGTCCTGCCGAGGAAGCACACGCACCGGGTCAGGGGCGCGGTCTCTGTGGGGCGGCCGGGAGACATCCGGGACCATCCTGGTGCTCCAGACACAGCAGCACGGCCTCAGGAGGCGGCGAAAGGGCCACCTCTGGACACCTGCCCAGGAACCTCTACCAGTTTGCTTTCGTGCCTGGCGCCGGGGCAGAGTGGAAAGAGCCGAGGTGGAATACTACTCGGCCCTGAAGAAGAAGAATCTGGCCACTTGTGACATACAGGGGGACCGTGAAGGGAGTGTGTTTGGGGAAACAAGCCAGACAGAGAAAGACGAACTCCGCACGCACCCACTCCGATGCGGGCTGGGAGGAAAAACCCCGTCACGCAAGCAAAACAAAACCCACCTTGAGACACAAGAGAAAGGCGGTTGGGGCAGGGGAGGGGGGTGGGCGGGCGGCGGGTGTGCCGAGGACCTGTCCACTGCACCTCACACGGTGGGGCCACGAATGTCACCTCAGTAAGAAGAAAAAACGAAGAAAACGAATCTAAAACAAGCCCAGAGCAGAGACAGCACAAAGCAACCGCGTCTCAGTCTGCAGGCGGCCGTCTCTGCACGCGGCCGTCTCTCTAACGCCCAGGACCAGCAGGAACCCACTGTCCCCCCCTCCGCGCAGGAGCCGCGCCTGCTGGTTTCGGCCGGGTGGGGGGGCGGGGGAGGCTGCAGCCGGTGCAGGGCGCGCAGAGCCTGGGCATCTGCTGCCCACCCATGAGGGGGCTTTGCCGTCGTGAGTAAGTGGAGGATCTGGAGACGGGGGGACACCCAGGCCCCACAGGGTCTCTGCGGGGAGACAGGAAGCCAGAGGGAGGGAGGCCGGGAGAGAGAGAGGGGCTCACGACTGGGGAGACGTGGGGTCCCCTAAAACTGACAGGGCAGATCCTGCCCCAGGAGCTCCAGGAGGGCCCCGCCTGCACCTTCACCCCACTGGGCTCATTTCCGGCTTCTGGCCCCAGAGCTGACCCTAACCCCAACCCTGACATGCTAAACGCGGGCCGGCTGGTCACAGCAGACAGGACTCGGGTGCTCGGGGGCGCGCCGGTCCCCTCAGGCTCAAAGAGGGCCGCAGGCGATTCTGGGGGGCCGGACCCCGTCCAGCCCAGGACACTAACTGGGACCACGGCAGGGGCCCCCGAGCGAGGGTTGGCCGGCGCCAGGCCCTTCTGGCTTGAGGCCTTGGGGGGAGACTGGACTCCATGGGGCTGTGGGGGTCTGCTTGCGCCCACTCAGGGTGGTGCGCCCCCCCCTGTGCCGAGGGGAGCGGCCACTTGACACCCGAGACGGACGCCCGCGGACACAGGCAGCTCAAGGAAAGCCAGGTCGTGTCCCGGGAGAAGGCGGCGGAGGAGCCCCGTCAGCAGACAGGGTGACGGGTGACCCTGCCCCATAGGCCGCGACCCCACCCTGGGCCCAGGCCGGGGCCCCGGGCTCTGCCCACCATCCTCCGCTTCTGCCCGGGGCCCCGGCCTGAGCTGGGCCTGAAGAACACCGCGGGGACCCCGAGTCCATTTCCAGGTTCGTTACCGGCAGCGGGCGGGAGCCGCCTCCACGCCCCAGGACGCTGCTGACGGCCCCACAGGGAGCCGCGCCCGCAGGCCATTGGGGTTGGCGTCTAATGGTCACTGCAGAACCCCCCACACACCCCCACAACCCCCCCCACACCACACCCACCGCACACACACACACACACCACACACACCACACACACACACCACACACCCCACACACCCCCCACACACACACACCACACACACCCACACACACACCCCACACACACCCCATACACACCACACACACACACACCACACACACCCCACACACACCACACACACCCCACACACACCACATACACACCCCCCTATACACACACACACACACCACACACCGCACACACATACACCACACACACCACATACACACCACACACACCACACACACACCACACACACCACACACACATACACCACACACACACACACACACACCCCACACACACCACATACACACCCCCACACACACACCACACACCACACACACCACACATACCACACCCCACACACATGCTCTGCTCCTCAACACCCTCCATCTACCCTGAGCGGCGCCAGGACGGGGACTGCCGGGGCCCTGGTCTCTCGCCAGAGACACCAGCCCCAGGAGCGGAGCGTCCCCGTCTCGTCTGCCGTAAACGGGCCGCAGGCGTCGGCTTCCGGGGCAGACGCTGCCCCACGAGGGAGGCCCCGACCGCCGTCCCAGCGCGAGTGGCTGTGTGAGGGCCCGGCCCGCTCTCTGCCTCCCGGCCTGCGGGGCCGGGGCCACCTCTCCTAACGGGGATCCTGCATTTCATTCTGCAGATTGTGGGTTTGGTCATCAGCCCTGGGAGCCCAAGGCCCTGTGGCACACGGGGCGCCGCTGTGTGCCCGCCGTCCTGTCGCCGGGTGCAAGGCAGTGGCTGGGGGCCTGGCCTGCTCTGGACGGAGGGGGGTGGACACCGGGAGGAGCGGGTGGGGACGGTGGCGCGGGCAGGCCTGTCCTTACAGGGGCCGCCCGTCGGGCTCTGCTGCCCTGAAAAGAGAACGGGGCAAGTGTGGGGGCCGCTGCCCTGCAGGGGCTGGCGCTGCGGAGAGCACCTGCGCACGCAGCACGCGGAGCTCCGGGGCGGCAGCCGTTCTGCAGACAGAGCTTCTTCCCAGAGCTGCCTCCTGCTCCCCGGGACAAGCCGGCTGCACGTGTGCTCCCTGCGCGCTCGTGTGCTCCCCGCGCGCTCCCCGTGTGCTCCCCGCGCGCTCCCTGTGTGCTCCCCCGCGCTCCCCGCCAACCAGGACAACGTGTGTTCAGCGGTAACTGGTTCATCTGTCTCGCAACCACACGGGTGCTGTTCTCTTGCTCCTGTGTCACGCCTGCAGTGAGAGCCTGCGCCGGGAGAGCCAAGACGCAGCTGCTCGCGACGGCTCTTCCCCCCCCCCCCCCCGCGCCCACGGCAGAGTCACGGGGACGCCGAGTCTTCGTTCCTGGCAGAGAACTTCCTCGGCCGTCCTGTCCGCGGCAGCCACCGTCCAGCTCAAGTCGGTCCCGGCAAAAATGGGGCGGAGGGGCTGCAGGCCGCCGGGGCCCGGGGTGGGGCTGCAAAGGGGAACCAGGGCCATGGACACGAGACTCCGGGCGGGAGGCGCGGCGTGGACTCGAGGCGGCGGCGCTGGGCCCGGGCATCTCTGCGAGCCTGGGCATCTCTGCGAGCCTGGGCATCTCTGCGAGCCCGGGCATCTCTGCGAGCCTGGGCATCTCTGCGAGCCTGGGCATCTCTGCGAGCCCGGGCATCTGCGTTTGCAGCACAGGCGCACAGAGGCCGCCGGGCGAGGGACGCTGGTCAGCCGTGGCGCTCTCCCTTATGAGCCCACGTGTCGGCCCCTTCACCGTCCGCCACCGCCACATGTCGGCTGTATCTCAATAAAAGGGGGGGAAAGTCCACATCCTCCTGGTAAAACCCCCAAGTCGGTGTTGGTGCCGTGGCCAAGTCACGTCCTCACCCGGGCGGGGGCCAGCGGCGGCCGGGGGGGCACTGTCCGCGCGTGGACTTTCCGGCCTCGGCCTCTGCGGCTTCTCCCGGCCTCCAGCGCGCAGCACACCCGGAGGACGGCGTCGTGGGAAGAATCGATAAAATAAGGTCCTCAAGTCACTGTCGCTGCAGGCTTGGGAAAGGCCCGAGGTCTTTTTTGTTTTTGACTTGTCCTCATACATGTAAATTGGTTTGGCCGTTTCCTGTGTTTCCACAGATCGTATTTTCAAGTAAAGGAAGTACAGATTCCGTTGCTGAGCCTGAAAGCTGTGAGCGGACTCAGAGCTGTGAGGGAAGCAGGGCGGGCCCAGGGACGGCCGTCTGCCCCAGGTGGGGAGTGAGGCGCCCCAGCAGAGATCTGCCGGGAGAAAGGCGGGAGCCCCAACACGTGCCCGGTGCCCGCTCACACCCTGCCCGGCCTCGCCATGTCCTTCTGTGGCCGGTCTCCAGCTCCCCGCTGGGCAGCCTTTGTCCTGCCTCGTTGCCCGTGGCTGAAGGTCCGCTGTGCCCTGGACTCTGGGCCTCACTGGACGGGGTGGGGCAGGGAGTGGGGTCGCTGGCATCTGGCACCTCCTACACGCAGGCTTCCCCTCGCCAGACGCGTGGAGTGAGCCCGCCAGCCACTCACCCCCGAGCGCCTCCCTGAGGCCTCCAGGAGGCGCATCCTCCCCTTCAGGTGCAGGCGGAGCTGGGCTTCGCCCTGGGCCTTGGGGCAGGGAGCTGAGGCTGAGAGTTCAGATCTCGCTGCACAAGGCGGGTTAGGGGGAGCGGGGGGCTCTGTCACCAGCTCAATGTCGACGCCACGGATGAGATGCAGCCCTGGGCTGCTTCTGAGAACGAATTTTTGAAAAATCAATTAATTAAATCAGTGCAAATGTTTGCAGGCAGGGAGGTGCCTGGGATGGCACCTTTCCCGCCACAGTTGGCTCCTGCAGGCTGCCGAACCAGGAGCACCAGCCAGAGCCCGCCCATGGTCTGCTTCTGTACGGACTCGTAAACCAAGAATGATTTTTCCATTTGTCAAGGCTTAATAAAAGTAGCATACAACAGAGACTGCGTGTCCCGTCCCTGTAAATCTCAAACAACTCACTATCCAGCCGAGCTGTGAACAAGAACAATTTCCCTGGTGACGGGACACTTAGAATGCTCCAGAAGGGCCTCTCCTCACCTTGGCGTTCAGGTCATCCTTTTTGCAGAGCCTCTGAGGTCTTCCCTTCCCCTCGCCCCTTCTCCGTCTTTCCATGTCACGCCTTCAGGGAGGCGGCACCTGTACTAGACTCGGGTAGATTCGCATCGTGATAGCTCGGTCTCGGGGGAGACCTGGAGGCGCTGCACCCGCGAGGAGCAGAGGGACTCGTGTTAAACAGGAAGAGATGTTTGAATTGGGGCTAATTTTAAGCGGCTGATGGTTTGCAGAAGG